TTTTTTTTTCCCCCCAAAAAAATAAAATCCCCAAAAAAATTTCTTTTAATTTTTCAAAAATTGAATTTGCCAACAGAATCGAAAAGGGAAGGGAAATCAGAGATCCCTGTCCCCGAAAACTGGGAGGGGAAGTCTTCCAAGAGATTTCGAAGGGCCGTAAAAAATGTTCCCTCAAAAGCCCCTAACTACGGGTATTTTATCCGGTCTAATTCCCCATTTCCGATAAGAAAAAGGAATTCTTCAAATTATATAGGAAGGTATATGGGTGGACGGGTGGGTAGTTTCATTATTTTGATTCCATTTTGTTTTGTTCTTGGTAGATTCCGAGAAATTTTACCAGCAGTGCGAGCCCGGTGAGTTTTTTTTGACTTTCTTTCGTTTCAGCTCAAAATTGAAACTTTGACATGAATACTGAATAGGAAGTGATAAATTCAGGGTTTTTTTTTCCTCGATGCTTCGCACTTACTATGGTAGTTTTTATGTATTTATGTGATTTTCCGATCAGCATATGTGTGTCGGGGGGGGGGGGGGGGGGGGGGGCGTTGGTCGAAATAAGTACAAGTATATGTTAACAGTTCTTCAGTTTTATTTTAGTTAGTTTTTTTCTATCTTTGCCGGTTTATGTTGACTTTTTATAATGCTGAGTGCTGACAATTGGTTAGCAGTATGTGAATGTGCGTGACGATTAGTGTTCCTCTGCCACATTTTGTTAATTTAAATATTTTTATGATTCTCCGTGTTTGTTAATTCTAAGCTATATAGCATGGATAGGGCAACTTCCTAAGGTTTTTGTGTTTTAGGGACGTTTCACAGTCGCTAGCCAAAATAAATGTCTTCCGTTTCGGTTGGTTTTCATAAAGTTGGAAACATGTTTCGGTGGAAAATCCCCAAACATTTTTTTTCTTCCTTAAATTTGTTATGAACTAGTTGGTGATTGTAAAATTTATTTGAATAACTTATAGGAAAGTTTTTGGTTTATAAACTATTAAAACTATATTTCTACAAATTTTAATATAACTATCTTCAAATTTACATTTTCCCAACGGTCCCCTGTTCTATATTTCCCGTATCCGTTTTCACCATTTGCTGTTTTTGCATTTCCGTCTCTATATTTTGCTGCCTAATTTCAAGAAAAAAATTAAATTGTAAATGTTTATATAATTTTGATATTTTATTTGTCATTGTATTGTCTGATAGCATACTCTGTGAATAATTCAACACATTTATCCTTTTACTGGCACATATTAGCTCCGCCGAAAACCAAATCCAATTTCCTCATTAACTTTTTTAATTTGGTAATTTCATGGCGATTTTGTTATACACGGTAATGAATTTAGAAACTGCATAGTGCTGAATATTTTTTTTCTGAATTTGTTGTTGCGTTTAAGATCAAGAGAACCTCTGTCTATACGGGCTTCCGAACGAGACATGGGAAGTCAACCTGCCCGTTGAGGAGGTGCCTCCCGAACTGCCCGAGCCAGCACTCGGAATAAACTTTGCGAGAGATGGGATGAAAGTGAAGGACTGGTTATCTCTTGTGGCAGCTCACAGCGATTCGTGGCTCCTTTCCGTTTCATTCTACTTTGGTGCACGATTTGGATTCGGTAAAAGTGACAGGTAAATTTTATCCGTAGGAAACTGACCTTTGAGAATTTTGTCTAATTTCGATGTTCAAATCTTTCGTTCAGAATCTGTACCTTTCGCTATCTTGCTTTTTCTATCTTCTAAACCGTGGGATGCATTTACATCTATTTCTTTTATTGCTTAGCGTAACCTGGTGTACATTGCACTGTAGGTTCCAGTCGACTTTACTTGAAATTTTAAATAACTGTATTGCACATTTGAAAAACATGACATGCTTTATTCTTTGTGTTGATTTGGAGAATATTAAGCTTCGATGATTCTACAGAGCCTCCAAACGTAACTATGTTTGACCGTAAAAAAAATGTCGGTTTTTGTACAGGAAGAGACTTTTTCAAATGATAAACGAGCTCCCAACCATATTCGAGATTGTGAAAGGAGATGCTAAGCAAGCCAAAGAAGTAGCCCAAATTAACAGCAGCAAGATCAACAAATCTACTGGAAGAATGGTAAGTGCCGTTTGGGTTTGTTACAATTTGAATTTCGTCCCACATTGCCAATATTTCGGGCTCTTTTATATAACGTGTCTATATGTAATTATTCTTTATTTCTCTTAGCCATCTCAACACCCGAATGCCCAGCCAAAATCTGGTGTTAAGGTTTCTGCACCCAAAAATGAAGACGATATTGGAGAGGAAGAAGAGGAAGACGAAGAAGAAGAAGAAGATGAACAAGGAGGCGCGTTATGTGGAGCTTGTGGCGACAATTATGCAACCGACGAATTCTGGATTTGTTGTGATATATGCGAGAGATGGTTCCATGGGAAGTGCGTGAAGATAACACCTGCCAAAGCTGAACATATCAAGCACTACAAATGCCCTAGTTGCAGTAACAAGAGGGCTAGGGTTTAAGATTTTAATCTTCCGATTATTCGAACTTTCTACGGGCCGATCGATTAAGGTTTAGAAGTGTTAATTAGTGTTGTTAGTTGAACAAGGGTAAGTTAATATATGCACAGATCTTGTATAATCATGTGGTTAGTTCAAGAATAGAACGTGTGTTGTTTCACGGGGTATCTTGAATATGATGCTGGCTGAATTGTGTACTTTAGGGTTGCTAGATTCTGGTTTTCTTCTTAGATTGGGATTATGGAAATATAAATATTTATTATTCTGATTTTTGTATAATCATGTGTTTTAGTAGATGAAATGTTTTGAATTTTTTCAGCAAAAAAATTGAAGTCAAATCGAAGCATCAATTTTTCTTTTAATTCATATGCCGAATTTAAATACTCGTTTCCATCGTATACTCAAATAAAGCGATAAATCATTAATAAACAACAAAAAATGGCATAATATTTTGAACATTAGAATATATGTACAGCTAAACAAAATCCCAAAACTACGAATATTAGAAATTAAAAACTGACATGAATTTAAGATTCCATGTCCAACATAGGAAATTCGGAAACTACGAATAATAGAAATTAGAGATGTCGACAGTTCAACTTCAGTTCAACTACACGAAATTAGAGTAGTATATATATGCTAAGAACAGCCAAACATTCGGAGAATCCCACGAAGACTGTCCATTTGTGAAGTTCCACGATACTGCAAAAATAAAAAAATGCAGCAAATATTTAGTTAAACCGCTGTCAAAATCTACCGGAAAAAAGAGAAAAATCAAGAACTGTAACTAATATGTACACAGACAAGAATCGTAAAGAAAGACAATACCACATAAAGGGATTTAAAATCTAGTTTCTATATAGAGAAAGTTTATATATTCGAGTCGTCTAATATTTCCGGTCCCTAGAGAATTCTAGTGTACATTTTGCGACAAAATAGTGGCTTGTGCAGTGCAGTAGAGTGTGCTAAAAAACACATCAAGGCCTCAAAACTAAACGAAGCAAAACGAAAGACTCCATCGGATATACACTCGAATTAAGCAAGGTAGAGCACAAATGCAGTTAACCAATTAATGCGTCAAATATGCTTAAACTTTTAACTTTTAGCAAACAGACTACTCGGAAATCAAATCCAAAGAGATGGTACGAATGATGCTTACAATTATCACAATTCGCAACTATACCCATAATTTTAAGTATTCTACCGCAAACACATTCCACTCGAAGTCTCGAACATAGTACAGATAATTGGATCAAACAATATAATTGAACATATACATCACCAAAAAAGTGCGAAAAAACGATAAACACGAACGTACTTGAAAGAAAAAAAAAATACTTACATCCTCACAGATAACTGAGAAACGTATCCAAAAGCGTCGACGGCACTAAAGCAGTTATCTCGAGTGGCATTTTCGTCCAACAGCACCAGCTTCGGGTCGTTGTAAAACCAGTAGA